GTTTACATTGTTTCCAACATAAATGCAAGTTCTTGAAATGTTGCCGAATGCACATTTCAACTCAGCAAAGCGTGTAATCACAGGATAAGCAAAATAGTTTATTCTTTATTCCGCATTTTATACTTTCATATTGTTACATTTTATTCTTTCAGACCCAGACAAGCTCTCTATAGATCCAGAAAGGAAACTAGGTACCTTTTGTCACAAAAATAAGTACCTACTTACCATATTAAGTTTTTTATCGCAGTATTCTCTAAATGCTCTTAATTTAAGTAAGTCATGTGATAAGCCTCCTGAAACAGGAAAACGCTTTTCCCTCATAACTTAACCCAAAATCTGCCATTTGACTTCATCCCAGTTTCTTTGTTTAATGTTTAGTCGGAGTGTAATGTTCACCACATATGTACGCAGCTAGCTCTACTAAGGAACACAATATTTCTTTGGCCAAGACAAATAACGGTCGGGCGTTAGTTTGATTGGAGGTTATTTGTTGCCTTTACAATGAACATTAGCAAGGGAACGAACATTTTCATCGTCACTGCTTACTGCGGAGGTTTTGTCTCTATTTTTAGATTAGTGGCCGGTCATTATTCAGCCCGATGTGTTTTCTGCAAAAAGAAAATTGTTGTTCTAGACGGGCGTACTAATTTACCTAGTTTCTACAGCAAATGTTTTCTTTTTTGCTGTATCCTACCATAGTTCTTTCAAGTACCAAACAGTAAAAAGTATTATAAAATGAGCTTGTAAATGGAGAAAGAATGTGATATTTTGGATTCGTTTCCAAAGTAGTAATACAAACTTTTATGTTACTAGTCTCATCATAATTTGAAACTTTACATAAACATCGTTTTGTACAAAGAGGCCATCAGTGCCCGTTAATGTTAGGGTCGCATCACAACGTCATCACAAAGCTTGCTCGGACCGCCAAAACTGGAATGTTTTTATGAGAATAGTTTCATTCGAGCATTACAACCTGATTTGACAAGGGTGAGGGCAAAGCTCGCGTAATTTCTGGACGTTAATGAATTACTGGACACGCTTTCAGAATGTTAAATCTGCACCAATAATATTTTAGTTGTAAAACTTGACACGAAATCGTAAAATAATGTAAAATTTTGTCGACAAAAGTATTTTGTTCGATTAGGTACTTTTTACACTAAGTACTTTTAATTACATTTCAGGGTCGCTATAATTGTGTGGTTACACACAATATTCTAATTTAAATTATCTAATCATCCTACCAAGGGTCAATGTTATCTATCAAATAAAAATAATGTTCAAAACATTACAGCATTAGTAGATTTTAATTGTGATCTTTTATTGTAACTATTGTATTGATAAAATTGATATCGAGAATGATGTAACTTCCTGTTTTTTATACAATAATCAAATAACTGACATAGAAGTGTTTTGATACTTTTGATAATTAAGCTGTTTGGGCAAGCTATATTTGGGACGTGTATTTAAGTGCCCTGGAAAGGGCCTATGTACTGAATAAACTATTTCATTTCATTTCATGTTAGAAGTTTTCAATTAAAATCTGGTTAAAGTTGGTACTCTCACATAAGTTTTTAGCTAGTTAAGTTATATTTTTTGAGTCCATTTTAGATACTAACGCTATAAAAGACAAAAGTTACATGTAAGAAATAAACATTCGAATTCACAAAGAGGTGATAATATCTTACGATAATAAGATGTTCTGACGTTAATCGACGCAGACTGAATGGGTCTGATGTAAGAGACGAGACGGGATCGATTCGAGCAACAGTTGATGGCGCGTCTGATCCCATTGAGACATAAGGCGGCAATTTCCTCGAAACCGATACCATGATCGAACGGGAAGCATTTGGGGATGCGAATGGAAACGAAGGTATGTTATGTGCGATTTGATAGACATCTGAAAATCTCGATCTAGAGTCACTTCAGTACTATAAATTAATGAAATTGCAAAATTATTATTTCGTACAACATTAACAAATAATAAGGGTTCCTTGTCAGGACTACGGAACCTTAAAAAGTGAGGTGAACACTTTCTTGTAGTAAAAGTGCGATGGCAAGTGTGTCCGAATGAGTCAAAATATTATTGTTGAATTGGCCGTCATTGGAATAACTGTATTTATAGTTAATGACAAAGACATAGTAACTCATGCAATATTTATTTCATTAGGATGGTATTAAACATGTTTTTAAGCTACAAATACCGTGTACCAACCCTTTATTGTCATTAATCTTAGGTAGTTAAATTGGCTCCAACTTTTATACTCGAAAAGTTAAATTGTCGTCTTTTCTGCATCACAGTTAACTCAGACATTATCATACTTACTTAGGTACTTAGAATGTGCGCAATGTGCTTATTAGACAACGCATAGTGTTAGCGCGTGCCGTGTCGGATGCTCGGGCTTTTGCCGTGAATCGATTATCTCGAGACGTCTCGCGTGCCTCGCTTGATCTCCATCTCGCCGACCTGCATTTAATACATACCTGTCTCCGTGTGTGGTTTATTCAAGTCGGCATAACTGAGACAGCGAGTATTCCTATTGACTCCGAGCGGATCTCTGATAATAATACATTAAGGGATAACTGATATAAGACTTACCTAATTGAAGCTGTTGTAGCATTAATTTACTGGATAAGACCCTCATTTACTAGGTATAATATCAATGTACCTACTCCTAATGTTTTTTATGCATCGATCACTAATCTTTACCTATTAGATATCGATGTTTTTATGTTTTTATTTCTCATGTGTTATCTTCGAAAAGTCAGAGGAAAATTCCCTTTTCCTGTGAAAATAGTATGCGGATTATTAGAAGCGCCACGTTATGGACCGACAAAACATTCGATTGTGTAGCGCGGGGATCATCTCGGCGAAATTCTGTACGTATCAAGACTTAAAATCGCGTCGCATTGTTGTCTTTTGTGTTCGGGCTCGCATTCGTTTTCCATCGCACACCATTATTCACATTAAGTGGACAGATCTCGGGTCAGATCCAGGCACAAGAAAGCACAAAAAGTGCCCGCTTTATCCAAGCATGATAAATCTACTTCAAATCCGAGAATAGCGTCTTTTATGAAGGAAATTGAAATAAACCGACCGTGCGGATAACGGCTAAGTAAGAAGATCGGGATCCCTTTAGAATATATTGGTGAATCATTTCCATTCATCAACTCAGCCCGAAAGTGGAACAAGTACAATAAATCTGTCATTTAGCGAAATACTCCTATTGTTTGACGAAAAATAAACAGGCATCGGCCAAATATTTTCTTTGCACAATGATTTCAAGTGACCTATTATTTTCTTTACCTGCAGGTACCTAAACGAAGTATGATGTCTTTTTTTCTTATTTTTGCTAGTTGGTAGGCTGAAAACTGGCCACCTGGCCGGGTTTCGGGTTCAATTCCTGGGAATTGAACCCGAAACCCGGAGGTACTGGTACCTAAGGGCAAAATTTTCAGCTCGGCGATCTCAGTCCGCAGTTGGTTAGGATTGCCAATTCCTCTGTAGCTGAAGATTCCGGGTGAAGCTCGCTTCCACCTTCGGCCTGACCAACACTTCCTATCAGGTGAGATGCAGGCCAAGAGCTTCTACGTTGCGGATAAAAAACAAGTTTCCCGCGAGAAAAAAAAATAAGTGTAGGTAGATGAGACAATATAGAGTATACCGTCATAAAATGTTATGTGCACCCTACTTGACTCCGAGCAAGGGAGAGTGAGACAAAATAAATATAAAAAAAAGTAATTTAGGACTAAGTAGTCTGAAAAATTAACTGGCTGGGGTATGATAATTTATAAATCCATCCATTGCTAGACGTTCGAAATGAAAAATCCATCGCGATTGAAGAAAAGACAGACAAATAGAAATGGTGTTTTCTAATTTTCCCCTATTCCATATAACAGATTGTTCAGGAGATACGTCCCTATTTTTAGTGGCGGAGCAGAAATCGAGCGTGAAATGGTTACCACACGAGTGGTTGTCTCGCGAACAAACGAAATGGCGGATCGCCGTCCCCGCCGGGGCGTTTGGCGGAAAATTGGCTGGCAGAACGCTCGCCGGTACGTAGGTACTAGCTTAATAAATAATACGGACACAGGTAATACAAAACACGTAAATCCACAACGTGCAACTTTGCCAACTCCAACTGCCATCATCACACAAATTGAATAGCTGAGTAATTTAATTATACCTATGCAGGTGTCTAATAATTTTACTTTCCTCAAATTTTACAAGCAACCATCACGCTTGTTGCATTTATGCTGTTTTGGAAACTTCCTTAACTTCAATAATGGCTTAGGTTACTTCATCTGAAAAGGTGTCTCTTTCTTTACAAACCCCTTTTTTCATCATCATCATCATTTCAGCCATAGGACGTCCACTGCTGAACATAGGCCTCCCCCAATGATTTCCATGTTGATCGATTGGTGCCTGCGGCCTGCTTCCCTGCTACCTTTATGATGTCGTCGGTCCACCTTGTGGGTGGATGTCCCACGCTGCGTTTTCCGGTAACCCCTTTATTAACATGTAGAAAATGTTTTTAACTTAATTCTAAAAATGTTTAGCGAAAATTAATAGCAGCAGCCAAAATAAACCCCTAGTCCCGCCAGGATCCTCAAACAATCCTGCCCCGTATCGTGACGAGCCGATGCGCCATAAAATGTCGACCGTTATGATTTTCATCACGGACGGAGGCCAGCGAGAAATTTCGTTTTCATTTTATAGACAGCGTTCTACTCATACTTTACTGCCGAATCATATTGGAAGCGTGAAAGATATTGTATTGCAGCCTTACGGCGCTGTTCTTCAGCATTATTATCACTCGTTTTACTCCCCAACCGAAAACGAAAGATTTGAAACAAAAAGCTCTTTTAAGCCTTCTAGGTATTCCGAACGGAACAATAAAAACTTATTTCTAAACTACTCTGCATCTGTGGTCTAATCAAATGACAAGAATCTTAAAATTATTTTGTATTTTTTTTTGTGTGTTTACAAGTTTTATTTTTATTTTACAATTTATTTCTTCTATATTTTTATTAACTAATAATCTGCTAAAATGTGTGCTGAGTACAAGAAAATGCTCTTGCCGTCTAAAGTAAGCAATGAAGACATAAGTGCCAACAAAATGATAAGTGCATTATCTTCGATAGCTCTTGAAATGCAAAAGTAAGTCCTTTTCTTAGGTCATTTTAATTTAATATACGAGTAATAATTAATTTATTAACGTTTCAATAAGTAAATATTATCTTAATTTAATGTAGACGTTATATTTTTGCAGAAAGAATATAGGGTTGATGAAAATCGGCCCTAAGTAGGTAACTTATTTTTTTCACGTTCGTAAATTCGTTTCAGATTTCACAAAAGTGCACCAATCTCATGCCATAACTTCGGAGAAAATCAAGAAATATGTGATAAATTAAATTTGTGCAAATCCAACCTTAGACTTAAGAAAAAGCAGATCAAATTACTGAAAGAAAACCTTAGAAAAGCTTGTAGTAAGTTTGAGTTTCACTATCACTTAGTTATAAAATGTCCTACTCTGATTAACAAGCATTTAAATATTCCTTTGAAATTCACATTAGTGTAGGTGCTTACATTTTCCTACTCTGACGATTAAACCACCATTTCAACATTCTATTAATTTTCAGTTGTAGCTAAAACGGTTATGTCTGCAAAAGAAAACGAAACCATGTCGTTACACAACCATATCAATAGTGCTCGTAGTGAGTATGCCGATTTATCTCAGAAAAATAAAACTAACGTGGAGACCATACGAAATTTACTGGCAGAGAATAAGGCTTTAAAGGAGAAAATGGAGCATTTGGAAAACTTTATTGAACTTGGTTACCAAGAATTGCAAAAGATACAGGACATCCCTGCTAAGGATATGCCAGTCGTCATGCAGCTAAAGGAAATTATGCTTTCTTGTGGACAATATTATGCAGATTATTCAAATGAACATGATACTCGTACGCAACTTGAACAGAAAAATCGCTTTTTAAACAACAAACTCAATATAATCAGCAACAATTTACAAGCGGTGATAGAAGAATTGAAAAATCTGCGTTACCAAAATGTTAAGCTGCAAAAAGAAAACTCATTGCTAAAAAACAAATACTTCAAGCAAATTGATAGCTATGCTGGCATAGTGGTCCCATCAAGACACACTTTTCGCGAAGAAAATACCTTACATATCCAAAATATAAATTACAATACATCTGTGCAAAGCGTTGAAAACGATCACAGCTTCGATTTAACCTCTCATCTTTCATTAGTTAAAAGTTTATTAAATAATCAAGATAGCATGTTAAAAGATTTGAGAAAGCTTTCTGAAAAGTTAAGCATTAATTCTAATTTTGGTGAAACTACGATTTTGGACTAACAATAAAGACAAACTATTTTCTTACATAAATAATTAACTTTTTAAAAAAATAAAACCGACTTCAAATGCGTGAACACAAAAAAAAACTAAAAATTAAAAATATTGCGTATAAAAAAGTTCATCCCCAATTTTCCACCCTTGGGGGTGAAATATTTTCTTCAAATTCGCATGAAACCACCCTTTTGATAATACCTATTCAACAAAAAAATAATCGTTCAAATTGATTTATAATCGGCGGAGATATTGCGTATAAAAAAGTTCATCCCCAATTTTCCACCCTTGGGGGTTGTTTTTTCTATTATTAAATTTAAATGGGACCACCCTTGAGGTATTACCTATACGCCGAAAAAAGATTTGTCCAAATTGTCAAAAAAACCAAGTCTCGCAACTCAGTTGTTCTACGGTAAAAAGTTGTGAGATCCATGTAATACCAAGTCCAGGCCAGGAAATCTTTAACGTTTTACATAAATATATTGACTTGGCCATCGCATGAAAACACGTGTAAATTAAATTATTTAGTGCGATGGCCAAGTCAATAATTTATGTAAAACGTTAAAGATTTCCTGGCCTGGACTTGGTATTACATGGATCTCACAACTTTTTACCGTAGAACAACTGAGTTGCGAGACTTGGTTTTTTTGACAAGTATTGTTTTTGATGGGATTACCTATACGCCGAAAAAAGATTTGTTCAAATCGGTTCATAATTGGCGGAGTTATCGCGTAACAAACATAGAAAAAAAAAACATACGGCTCGAATTGATAACCTACTCCTTTTTTGAAGTCGGTTGACAAAGACAAAATATAAACTTACAGCATTCATATGAGCCTTAGACTTGAGCACATTTTTTAGAAAATTTTAAACCGTTCGTTCATAAAGCACTGACCACGTAAATCGGACCGCTTTACCGACCTGTCACTTGTCAGTTTGAACTTCGCGCGCTTTATTGACATTTACTTACGTCGTACTTGAAGGAAGTGAACTTTGCGGCTAGAATGAATCCGTAAAATTGTATAGAATTATTCACACACCGCATGGTTGTTACTGGTTCTTAACCACGTGTGCACACCTACACACATTTAAATATTTACAATCATAAAATTCTATAAATAACCCAGATGAATGTTTGCAAAGGACGCATTCACTAAAATACTCAAGTATTGCAACAGTGCTGTTATTGTCAGAAGTGTTCGTCTAATAAGTGCAAATATTGGAAACATGTCCCTGGAACAAGCTAAGCAAGTTGCGGCTTATCGAGCCGTAGACGAGTTTGTTACAAATAATTGTGTTTTCGGTGTCGGCAGCGGTTCTACTGTGGTTTATGCCGTTCAGCGTCTCGCCGAACGAGTGGAGACGGAAAATTTGAAGGTGACCTGCGTACCAACATCTTTTCAAGCAAAACAGCTTATTCTGAAACACAATTTAACACTTGGAGAACTTGAAACCAATCCTGTAATAGATGTCACTATTGATGGTGCAGATGAAGTGGACTCTAAAATGACTTTGATTAAAGGAGGTGGTGGCTGCCTTCTTCAAGAGAAAATTGTTGCATCCTGCTCAAAGAAATTAATTGTCATAGCTGATTACACTAAGGATTCTGCAAAGCTAGGAGACAGATACAAAAAAGGAATCCCAATCGAAGTTGTGCCAATGGCTTACGTTCCAATAAGAAATAAAGTAATTGCTCTATATGGTGGAGAAATCAAACTCCGAAGTGCTATTGCCAAGGCTGGCCCAGTTGTTACTGATAATGGAAACTTTATTCTTGATTGGTTATTCACAAATCAAGATTTGGACTGGAAGAAAGTGGACTCCACTATTAAGATGATCCCTGGTGTGGTAGAAATAGGCTTATTTGTAGATATGTGCCAAAAAGCCTATTTTGGTCAGCCAGAAGGAAATGTGGTGGAAAGATTACGTCCATTATAATAAGTACTGCTTCATTTAAAAATTAGGTAGCTATTTCTCATTTTCTTTACTTTGAAATCTGATCAATTTCAATAGGAATCTCTTGGATAACATGCATCGTTAATAATCTCATTATTGAAGTATAATGAATTTATCAGGTGCTTATTTCATATCACTGTTCTAAAAATTTAAGTACTTATATATTTTTTCATTATTATTCTTGTTATAATCTTGCAACCTCATGACAAATAATAAATTTTCCAGAATAAATAATGTTGCTTCCTTCCTATTGTTAGTTATTGGTGGAAGTTGCCTTTGTACTACTATAATACATTGTCTCCATGTGTATGTGAAATAAAAGTATGTTCATTTATTTTTATACCACTTAAGCAGAAATAAAAATGTTAAGATTCCCTACATTTTATTTTTTACTATTTAGTGTCCATTCCATTAAGATTAAGACATAATATTAAAAGGTAGAAACATTTCATAGTGCCGATAAACTTTTATTCATAAAATAGTTATATCTTAAGTTTCTAGAATATAATCTTTTGAGATAATAACCGTTACATAGACAAAAAGAACAGCTACAGATATTTTTCTCAAAACAATACAAAAAGTACTTAAATTTAAAAATGCACCTGGTGGATATTAAAATTAAATTACATTGATTAAGAACACATTGTGCATGTAGTAGATATTGATCTTACTAACTAAAAATAAACTCACACTTACCCACAGATATTTGCACATTATTAGTAAATTCAGTTTATTTGGCTATGTGATAATTACTTTTATCATTGAAAATAATAAACAAACACCTCAATTGACCATGAGCTACCAACAATGAAAGCTATTTAATTGATCACAAAATACCTAGAAGATGTAGGCTTGAAATTTAGTGAAAATAAATTCTACAATGTTATCCTACTCTATTTCCAACTAACTATAATAACATTTTGGTGATAATTATTATAACTAACATAAAAACAATTGCTTTGACTATGTAGCCATAAGCTGAATACTGACTATTAGATTTCTACAACATAAACTTGCAATAAATTATGAACAGAGAGATTTAATTTGTCTTAATAAAGACTAGTTTTCTTCATTATACGTAAGAACTCTTCTTGATTAATTTCCCCATCTCCATCCCTGTCTGCTTCGTCTATCATTTCATGAAGTTCTTCATCAGTTAGATTTTCACCGAGTTCTTTTGCGACTCTCTTTAGATTTTTAAATGATATTTTCCCTGAAAGAACAAAATTACATAGCTTTAGATAGTACCAAACAAGTAATTTCAGGAGAGAACATACAAAATAATATAGCAAAACTTATTGTACATTCATGAACTCTTGATAATTTGGTGTTGTGAAGTGCTGTGCTTATCTTAATGTATGTTTCTAGGTCATTTATAAGTAGATAATGTAAGTAGTGGGTGTGGTACAGTCAGCGTCAAATAGTTCTCCACCAAAGGGCATCAAAGTATAAAACTTCCTCAAATTTAATTACTTGGTGTGAAACTTAGTGGCTATGAAAATATGCAATACCTAACTTAATTTGCTTTTATTTATAATGTTCATGCAAATTAGTTTTAATTACCTGTTTCATCATCATCAAAAAGTTTAAATGCTTTCATTATTTCTTCTTTTGTATCTTTTTCTGCCATTTTTACAGTCATTAGATCAAGGAAATCTTCAAATGAGACTTTTCCATCACCTTTATCTATTTCTGCTATCATTTTCTTGATCTCTTCTTTCTTTGGCTCAAAACCAAGAGCTCTGATGGCCACTTTCAGCTCTTTAGTATCTATCTTACCAGTACTTTCGGTATCAAATAAATCAAATGCTTCTTTAATATCTCTTCTCTGTTCTTCTGATAATTCAAACTTGGGCCCCGATTTCTTTCGCACTCCTCCTGGGACAGTGTTAGAAGCTGTCTTTTTAGGATTAGTAGCCACAGCAGTTGCCTGTAAAAATACGAAAAACTCAGTGGTAGCTAAACAACTGGGATTGTCGTGAACTCATGAACTTTTATTTTGTTAACATCTAACCATTATTTCGATTCAATGAGAAGCGAGCGCAAAATCAAATGCTTAACATAAAATATTTATATACAAATTGCCCAGAAAATGTTCAAATTGTTTTGTTTATCGATTCAATTGAACCTCCAAACACAACTTTTGCCAGCTGTCAATGTCACTTATTTTAACGTCCAATTAGACCCACAGATAAGCCCCGTAACACACGACATGACTAATTGCAATGGCTCAAGACAAATTGGCCAAGACGTAATCGTGTGAACACCATCTCGGCTACTTTCTCCTCTCTCTCCTCGAGTACGTCGCCCATACTTCGGTGTTCGGGATAGCTCCCACATAGTGTACTTGCGCTTCAACATCATAGACAAGATAAATTGCTTTTTTATTTATTTAAAAAAGTTTTCTTCGAAAATTGTTTTTTGTTTTATTTTATCCAAGTTACACAGGCAGGCTTTACTCTGCTTGCGTCTGCTTACCACGAAAAAAATCACCGAAAACTACTTAACATTATACTGCTGATAATGTTTATATTTTCGTCGGTCCACCTTGCGGGTGGACGTCCCACGCCGCGTTTTCTGATACGCAGCCTCCACTCCATAACCGTGCTGCCCCATCGGCCATCAGTTCTGCGTACTATGTGCCTTGCCCATTGCCACTTCAGCTTGCTAATCCGTCCGGCTATGTCAGCGACTTTATATCTCCTCATTTCTGATTCGATCTCGTAAAAAAACACCGAGCATAGCCCTCTCCATCACGCTGTGCAACTTTGAGCTTCTGTATAAGGGCTATAGTGAAAGATCACGTTTCCGAACCATAAGTCATCACTGGTAACACCATCTGTGGGTAACACACATTGGACGTCCACCCACAAGGTGGGACCGACGACATCTTTAAGGCGCTGGACGCAGGCCGCTACCAACCGGGCAACATGGAAAGCATGGGCTCCCCCAATCCTATGTTCAGCCTGTTCTCCCGTGGACGTCCTATGGCTGAGATGATGATGATGAATGTTTATATTTTCGTTTTTATCTTTCGTCGTTTCGAGAACCTGACTCCATCAAACTTAACTGAAGTGAAAAACCAAATAAATCTGAACAAAAGTGTTTATTTTTCTTCATCATTATACATCATAATTATAAAACACTTTTATAAAGCAGCCCGAAACAAATGTTTTGTGCTAGGCACAAATGGCCTGATGTTCAAAAATGTCTCGAGCAGGTCTAGAGAGGCACGATATTCGCTCCATAATTATGTTCTATTGTACATATTTGGTTAACTATAAAAGTAAGACAATGTTGATAATACATTAAAACAAATAACATAACTCGATAACTGCTTAGTATTTTTAATACATCTACTGGACTAACCACTGTTGTTGTAAACTTATAACAAGTTTGATCGAAAACTAAACTAAATATAATGGGTATAATAAAGCTAAGCACTAAGTGCGAAGTAAAAAAATAAATAAAAACAAGTTCATGGAAAAAATAAAGTCTGCAACACGCAGTGTCCTTTCGTCAGGTACAATTTTTTTGCGGATATAATTAATCAGACCTGCCGAAATAGAAGTCGTGATTGTGATTTTTACTACAACCAAATGATTATTATTAAAATAGTAGTAGTTCTCTGCCATAGCATACTAATAGATAGAAACAACAGGTAAGGTAGTATTAGAGTTTCTGCTATTCTAAAATCTTTCACCCATAATACCAGTGTAGCGTGCTGATACGACCAGTATCTTATATGGGTTGCCAAGTTACGGCGCTGCGGGTAGCGTGCCCACAGATTTCATGAGATGGTAGCAGTGTGGCAGGCGGCTTCGGTGCCCGAGGCGTAGTAACGTAGCGGCGGCTTGAGCCAACATTCCGGCTCGCTCGCCCGGCGCGGCCAATACTGCGGCCGGCAGATGCTTGCAGGCCATGTATAGAGCTACAGCGCGTTCTCCGTCGCCGCCACCGCCTTCTAGGGCTCGCTCTGGGGATTAGGAAATGGATTCGTTAAAAAGTGGATTTTCTTGAAATATCAACACGCTAAGCTGGTTCCAAGATAGTAAGCTGTGTCCTGGCGGATAACGGAAAACTAGATCCCATCAAAAACAATACTTGTCAAAAAAACCAAGTCTCGCAACTCAGTTGTTCTACGGTAAAAAGTTGTGAGATCCATGTAATACCAAGTCCAGGCCAGGAAATCTTTAACGTTTTACATAAATATATTGACTTGGCCATCGCACTAAATAATTTTATTTACACGTGTTTTCATGCGATGACCAAGTCAATATATTTATGTAAAACGTTAAAGATTTCCTGGCCTGGACTTGGTATTACATGGATCTCACAACTTTTTACCGTAGAACAACTGAGTTGCGAGACTTGGTTTTTTTGACAAGTATTGTTTTTGATGGGATCTCATTTCTTTTTGTATTTTGTAGACAGCAGTTATGTATCTAGAAAACTGGACCGAAATTGAAAAATTTTACTCGACTTGGCGGTTGCACTACCGTGCCCCCAAATATTTTAGTTTTTCCTTGATTCATACACCAAACACTACTTATATTCCAAATTTGAAGCTTCTAGGTCTGCTAGAAGTGCCTTAGAGTTTTGATGATCGGTGAGTCAGTGAGTCAGTGAGTCAGTGAGTCAGTGAGTGACAAAATTAAGTAACTTTGACCCGTTATAATTCTTAAACTACTGGTTCAAATTGAATGAAATTTTAAATATACCGTGTCTTTACAATGCCTGCATAGCTAATGAAAATTCAGCCTTCTAGTTTTATCCACAACGAAGTTACAGGCGGTCGAAAATGGCCTGAATTGCTTCGAGAAAAGGATGGTACGGCCGTGCCGCTTTTTTGCTCGACTTGGTGGGGGCACTGCCGTGCCCCCAGATACTGGCTATACAGAATTTGCATTGATGGAAAAAAGAGGTGGGATCACTCCTCTTTGAAAAGTTAAAGTTATGTATTTTATTATTTATTGTCTGATTGTGGCTTCGGATCACACTGGAGACAAATTACAGTGTGATGATGAGCAAGAGCATTGACACCCGTAGTCACGCAGCGGTTATGTGTTGCTCTCCCCTTTAGAAGGGAGGGGCATACCCATTGAAAATCCACCAATCTCCGTCTCGCTAAACATAGTGTGCCTAGCTATAGGCCTTATTATTTCCCGTCAGTGTGAGTACCGCTCACCTTTCCCGCAGATGATAGAGGAACGGTTTAAGCGCGGGCGCAGGCTGCCGTCCAGTAACTGCTGCGTGCGGCGCGGCGCGGCGCCCGCCATCATGCGGCATACTGCCGATTGCAGGAACACGCGTGACGTCACCCACTGAAAAATGAAATAACTTTCGTTATACATCAGTATCAAAAAAAATACATGTTTAGCAATGCTCTGCAAAATCACGACCCTCTATAATTTATAAAATGGAGGAATACAATATGCAAAATGGCTGCAAGGAATGCTGGTCTGGCGGGTAGGGGAGGCCTGATTTTCACATATTTGCCACTTAGACACCTTTTACGACATTCATGCGAAAAATGTAGGTGGTTTTATTCTATTTTGCTGGAACTACACGGCATACGGAGGAGATCCGTAGGAGAACCAGAGTGACTGACATAGCCCGCAGAATCGCTAAAATCAAGTGGCAGTGGGCGGGGCACATAGCTCGAAGAGCTGATGGCCGCTGGGGCAGGAAAGTTCTTGAGTGGCGACCGCGAGCCGGAAGACGTAGCGTGGGCAGGCCTCCCACTAGGTGGACCGACGATCTGGTGATGGTCGCGGGAGTTGCCTGCATGCGAGCGGCCCAGGACCGCTTTGTGGAAATCCTTGGGGGAGGCCTTTGTCCAGCAGTGGACGTCTTTCGGCTGAAACGAACGAACGAATGAACACGTCACACCCTGAATTTACTCCTTGAATACAAAGTGAATGTGTCTCACCGGTAAGCTCTGCGACAGGCGGCGAAGCGAATGCAAGTCTCGTTGAAAGCCACGCAACTGCGCGTGCGGCGCGGGCGACGAACCACAGGTCGCCTCCCATACTCCGGCGCGCACTTCTAACAGCCAGTCGACGCATAGCACCTGCATCAGCTGGAAATGACGTCAATGACATTACAACGACGAAATAACTGTTCCGGTTGAGAGTTAATCGAAATCAACATAGATGAAAAAAAAACATCTTAACTGTTTAACTCTGTATTTTTTTACAGTAATACAAAACGCCAATTGAGAAAGTGCATTGAGTCGGTCTGCTTTTGCGATTTTTTCGGTCGTGCAAGCACCGTCCCATTGCACTAGATGGCGCTATGCATATTTGTGAGAAGTTATAGTTAAATATTCTAAATGTGAGTTTGAAACGGAACACTAAAAGCATTTATTCTAACAATATGGAGTAAGACGCCTGAATGCTATGCACAACTTTGATACATGCAAAAGATTATGTTAATCAAAAATTAAATTGGAAAATTATAGTCTAATTTTCCAATTTAATCCAAAAAAATATGAAATTGCGGTGCATTAGAATGATAACTTAACATGAATAAATAATTATTTAAATCTCATTACTAACAACTGAAAAAAATAATTTACATACGGCCGAATACTGAAACGCCATTTAAATATTTGACGGCTTCTCAAATAGTTAAGCAGCTCCTAAACTTACATTTCGCATACTCAAAACATTATCTGAGCAGTTCTCAATTTTTAAGCACCTCTCAAATTAAGTTGCACTCAAATGCCACTTAAATGAATTTTCGCATACTGAAACGCCATTCAACGCTAAGCATTATAGTTCCAAAATACTGGACTGTCCTGTCGATGACATTGACAGTGGGGCGCCACCGTCAATACCGGATCGCTGGTTCAGATTTTTGCAATGTTGGAAACGATATAGTTGAACGATGGTAGCGCCCCCCTGTCATTGAGTTTGGCGGGACAGTTCAGCGTGGGTCATCTATACTCAAACAACTGTCAAATCGTCTTAAGCAGCTGTTAAATTTGAGAGTGCTTGCGCGGTATCTTAAATCCTATTCTTATACCTAAATCGACCTAAATAGTGGTAAATAATGTGTGTCATCGTTATCATTTCTTTCGAGCCTCGAGGAAATACCTAGATCTTATCGCAGGAACGCAATAAGGCTGAACGCTATTGAAAAATATTATTATACTGACATGCAATTTCGAGCGAGGTTCCGCGTCTCTAAAGAAACGGTGTTGTTTCTGGATTCATAATTTGGAAGCTCTTTGAAACCCCTCACCAAATGCCATACAACCAGTGGACCAAATACTTATTATAACCCTACTGTTCTACGCAACGGGAAGTTATGAACGTGTACTAGGTGATATCTTCCACATCTAACAGCCAACTGTGCATCGTATAGTGCACGAAGTAACAACCAAAATAGCTGCTATGAAATCGCTTTACATAAACATGCCTATTTCTGAGGATTAAGGGGACATCGCATAGCAGCATTTCCAAGAGTTGTTGATTTGTCAATTTGATGCTCTGTCAGTCAACAATGATAAATGTCAATTGTGGTTACGTTTCGGTCCACGATCGCCACTTAATAGATTTCAACAATAAAAAGTATCACCTTTAAAATTATTTTTTTAATTAAATAAAAATGCAAGCATTAATTTTTTTATATGATAAAACGAGATTTATATATAATAGAAACTAAAAATAAACTGTTCTATGTTAAGTTGATTGAGTATATTTCCATAAAAGACAATACATAACCAAACGATGCTGCGTGTAATGGATAAAAGACGTAAAGTTATCATTTGTGTAAATGAAAACATACTTTTTTTGGTAAATGTTGCCATTATGTAAACATTTGAGAGCTGCTTAGCTGATCACGGCTTCAAATCCGTTGAGTAGCGTTTGAGAATACCATTTAAAATTGAAGGATACTTAAATTTAGGAGCCCGTCAGCTGAGTGATAGATTTGAGTAGTGTTTCAGTATTCGGCCGATAGAGTCAATAACAATAGGCATAAAAAAGTAAATGCACGAAAAAATAACAGTCCATACAGTTTATAGTAAAGGATTTGAAACCTATGTTTACGGTTCTATAGCATGCCAAAATATAAAATTAATCATCATGCCTATTCTTACGCAAAAAAAAGTAAAATTAAAATTATACCAACACAAAATTCACATAAATAAAATTGCTTCAACGCGACGAGAGTGACTAATGCGAGATTTGCCTTGTAGTGATATTGCACAAATGGAAACAAGTGCAATGCAACTACAATGCACTCCCGAAATAGTCGGTCTTCGTGAGCTTCTGATAACGACCCATGCATTTCTATATACTTGAGGAAAAAAATAAATTAATGCAAATGAAATGGACTAATTTTGTCGCACTTACCATCATCAGCTGTGTCGGTTGTTTGCAGCAATAGTATGCCAAGGAGTCTGCTAGCTTGCCTCCAGCAATATCACAGACCTAAAATGATATCAAACGTTGGTACTCAGTTAGTTTTCAATTAACTGTATTTTTTTAAGGGTATCATTATGTACTTGAACATCGTGATTTTATAAGTTCTAAGGAGATGTCACGTTTTTTAATGTTAAAAATAAACCTACCGACTGCAGTACTACCATTTTGCAGTCATGAGACGTGCACTGCTGAACAAAGCCATTTCCTAGTGATTTTCAGATTGGCCGGTTGAAAGCGACATCCAGTGGCATCTTGCGACCTTTACTGAGTCACCTGTCTACCTTTAGGGTGGTCACGCGTTGCGCTTACCAGTATGCCGTCCAATTTCACTAACAAAAGTAGTTTTTATCCGTGTATTTTAGAACGGGTCAAGTCATTACACAATAAAATACATTTAACGGTTCAAATAGTGAATTTATCGTACCTTGAGTATGGTTTCCGACGTCTTCTCGAGGGCGAGTTCATCTCGACACTGAGCGAGGCTCAATAGTCCCCGGCGGCTTTTGTACGACATATGCAGGGCCCTGCCGGTCATAGCACAATAGCTATATCATCATCGGCCGATGTTTACCCGCCAAAGACAATAGTTATTAATTAAACAACTATAAACTACACACGCGTGTTTTATAAACATCGAGACTAGAATTTCTAAGCGGCGCATGTGTGAGAATAACGTAATCTATATGAGGTGTCATATTATCAATTCAGTTTCAATTCTACGGCAGCACGCACATCTTTGCATTTAGACTTTTTTTCATTACGTACAATCGCACATTTTCAAGGTAAGTGTTGACGTTTACTTTAAATTATTCGTAGAGATATTTTGCCATTACAATTTAGCAGTGTAAAATTTTGTGGAGAATTACATCATCTATTCATATTCACTTTTTTATCCTTGAAAACTAAATTTTTATGTAAATTATTAGACACATCAAAAAAATTTGACTACAACCTACAGTTTTGAAGGTCTTCGAATGTGCATAATAACGACGAAAATCGTTTTAAATACAAATTCAATTCTCATAGTAATAAGTGCTAAACATACCCCGGTAAAGGATCTTCGGAAGTGGCCAAAGGCTCAGGCAGTATGTACAGCCGGTCCCCGATTTCAGACGCGCGAGAGCTATCAGCCAGAAGCCAGGCGGCTGCTACTCCCACGATGTTCGCCCACCACTCCATGACTGGGTCCCAGCAACCTGGGGAATCTGCAGTTATTAAAGATGTCTACGAAAAGCAGGTATTTGAATTTCTTGAACATTTGAGTGTCAAAGAGTTTGAGTTATAAAGCAAATATTTCTAGCTTATTGATCCTGTAACACGAATAATTTATAATCGAGTTACAAAGGTAGGTATACTAAAAGAATGTCAGCTAATAGTTCCTAAACTAGGTAGTCCCGTCTTTTGGGGACTTGATCTTGGTACAAATGTTTGATATAAAAAAAATTGATCGTTATGGAATACCTGGTTTTGCAGGCAATTATAGTCTCCCAAAATGACTTTATCCTTTATCGTATTGTATTTTTAATTATATTTTTATTATCTGATGCAGCATGGGCTTCGCGGTTCTAATGCAAATTTGCATCAGCAAGTTGTAATAAAATTAGAATTTATCGCTAGGAATCGGGTCTCTTCCGGATTTTTAATAAAATTCACTGCCTCATTCTGAATCGTGTTAACGTAATTTGATAATGATTCTTCAAGTTACCAGTGTGTTGCGGGGCGTCGGTGGACACGTCGTCGGTTATCAACTTGACCAATTCCAGTACGTCGCGGGTGTTGCTGCGTTCGTCCGCGCAGAGAAGCATCTGAAGACTCTTTTGCAGCAAGTCCAGGTGGTACGCCTAGATAGAAAAGTTGAATGCAATGAATTTGCGGAACTATATTCAAGGGTTGTGTGGTAGAAATGTCTTTCTTAGACGAAACATATCAGGACAAGAACAAAGGCAAAGAGAAATCCAAAGGTGTGTTTTGGAAACAGATAGAGTGATATTCATTATCATCGTCATCATTTTAGCCACATATCCCCCAATGACTTCCAAATTAGCCGATTGGAAGCGACCTGCATCCAGTGCGTTCCTGCAACCTTGATATTAAGGTCATCTGTTCACCTTGTGGCCTCAGTTCTGCATGCTAATATCACAGTAGATAAATCAAACAGTACGGAAGCTTCATACAAACGCTCGAAATCAGACTCACGCACACAGACGCACGCTTTACACGAGCTCTAAGCGAACCTCGCAGTCCATCCGTCGCGAGTGTCGCGCGTTGTGTTTTTACTAATAATTTTATTGCATGCGCTGTCCGCTGTATTTTTAAAAACATGCCACGAGTGTATTGCGTAGTATTACTATACGGCTGCTTGAACTCGGCATCTTCAAAACCAGAACTTTCATTTTTTAAACTTCGTAATAATTCTGAGAACTTTCCTGCCCCAACGGCCATCGTCTCTACGAGCTATGTGCCCCGCCCACTGCCACTTGATTTTAGCAATTCTGCGAGCTATGTCGGTTACTTTGGTTCTCCTGCGGATCTCCTCATTTCTGATTCGATCACGCAGGGAAACTCCGAGCATAGCCCGCTCCATCGCCCTTTGGGTGACCTTGAGCCTTCTTATGAGGCCCATAGTAAGCGGAAGCGGACGGGCTGGAAGACGTAGCGTGGGCAGGCCTCCTACTAGGTGGACCGACGATCTGGTAAAGGTCGCGGGAAGAGCCTGGATGCGGGCAGCGCAGGACCGTTCATTGTGGAAAACCTTGGGGGAGGCCTTTGTCCAGCAGTGGACGTCATTTGGCTGAAAAAAAAGAAAGAAATAATTCTGAATTGTAAAAATGATTAAATATTACTTTTTAAATAAAGTGCTTACATCTGATTTTGTAATAGTTCTTTTTAAATTACTATGTAATTACGCTTTTTAACAATTTATGTGTTCTATTTGATAAAGTAACTAATTTGCTCCGCAAGCTTTTGTACTAAGTGATGAACTGTACCTATTTAAAATGAGGCAATAGGTAGGTATATGAAAGTAAGTATCCGGTATTTTATTTATGAGAATAGATCTTCTACCGGCCTCTAATAATACTTAATCAATTTATTCGATTATGTATTCGATCATTAAAGAACCTAATTAACGTTTTATTTTTTTGTTAACTACTTAAAAAAGATATGCGTACCATTTTTACAAGCACTTCGCTTGTTAGTTAGTATGGGATAAATCTTGCAACTGAATTTAAAACCAGTTCTCCTCAACCGATTGAGCTGAAATTTGGTATACTTATGTAAGTACGATGAAAATGCAATATTATGGTACCATTGAGCTGAATGGAGACTGGAGGTGGCCATAGGAACTTCTAAACGAAACGGCGGAATTGCATCTAGTTTGGGTTCGTTGGATTTGTCTTTTCGAGCACTTTAGTGCTAGATGATGTCCAGGGTCCTGATGATGAAGTCAAGAGGTGGCAGGAGCTGGCCATAGGAACTCCTAAACGAAACAGCGGAAGCTTATCGAGTTTGGGTTCGTTGGATTTGTCTTCCTGAGCACTTGGGCCATGAGATTGAGAAACAACTAAAAAGTTTAAAATAAAGTTGTAATAAAAAAAAACTTTTTTAAAAACAAGCTTGACTTCGTTTGAAAATTATAATTGACTTCATCATCAGGACCCTGGACATCATCTAGCACTAAAGTGCTCGAAAAGACAAATCCAACGAACCCAAACTAGATGCAATTCCGCCGTTTCGTTTAGAAGTTCCTATGGCCACCTCCAGTCTCCATTCAGCTCAATGGTACCATAATATTGCATTTTCATCGTACTTACATAAGTATACCAAATTTCAGCTCAATCGGTTGAGGAGAACTGGTTTTAAATTCAGTTGCAAGATTTATCCCATACTAACTAACAAGCGAAGTGCTTGTAAAAATGGTACGCATATCTTTTTTTGCGACTAGGTATCTTAAAGTATTATACCATTTTGGAATCTTGGATAGTTGCGTCAACTTTATAAAAAACTTGCCGTAGTAGTGTTCATACTTTTTTTTTACAAAACGATGAGTCAAAGTGGAGTGAAAGTAAAACTCGTTGAAAATTTTAAGAAAATAACATATTTTGATTAACTTTTGTGTAAAAACTGCAAGGATTCTGGGGGTTTTAAGAGTTGGGGTGGACAGTAGCACTACTTAAGTTGCCGATACAAACAAAAAAACAGAAATATTTGAAAAATGGTGGCCGTGGTAATGTAAAATATCATAAGGGGTGTCAATTTTCGAAGGATTTCGTAATTTATTGTATAACTTAAAAAATAATTGAGATAGATTTTTTTCCTTATTTTTCCTAAAGTAGTCATGACTATGTCCATCCTGTGGCGCCGGCTTATCCTTGAATTTTGGGACACGTTGTATATACTGTGCTAATATGCCCTGCCTATTGCCAATTTATCTTGCTAATTCATCGAGCTATGTCAGCGACTTTAGCTTTAGTTTTGGATTCGATCTCGTACAGAAACGTCGAGCATATAGCATGATGTGCGAGCATATACTATAAGCAGCTGTCTTATACCATAACAATGTCATCACTATTGAAGAGATGTCCCGAACAAGCGTGTTCTACATACCCTCATGGCATACTGGAGGGGGTCGGCGGGGTCGGGCGGGCGGCAGAAGAGCGCGGAGGGAGGGTGCGCGCGCTCGTAGCTCCAGCGGCGCGCGCGCAGGAACTTATACCCGCGCGCGCTCGTCACCCAGCGCAGACGCACCGGCGGTAATGCGCACGAATCCGAGCACGTCACGCGGCACAGGCGGAGGTAGTAGCTATAAGTAAGTGGAAGTGAAGTGTTGAAAGTACTCTCCACGCGCAAGTTGAATGCAGAGGGCCACAAGCAAAACGACCCAAAGAGTGTGATTACGATAATTCTCCTACAGCTTCAAAAAAAGCAGTTGGCGCCACTGTCTTATGCTGGATTTCTATATTCAATCCTAATCCAAATCGGACGGATTTGGATTGTCAACTGTCAAATTTAAATATGTTTTTTGGCCAAAATATCTGCGGTTTTCGATGTGTTTACATTTAAATATTGTTTATAAGACTATTCAAACAATATTAAAGTGGAAATGCATCGAACATTTTGGATATTTAATCTAAAACTGAATTCAATTTGACAGTTGTAATCCGGATTTGGACAAGGATTGAATATAGGAATAGGAAACGGGCATTAGTCACTAGCGAGTGATAGGCCCTTATAGTGGCGCCAACTGGTGAGCGGTAGCCCTTATTTTGTTGCTATTAGAAATTAAAAAGGATTTTCTTTAAGCATTGTACAAAAAACTTACAGCAACATCTTTCAATATAACAATTTCTTAGACTGACAAAGGTAACTGAGTTTCTTGCGCTGTTTCTTCTCAGCACTAGCCCATTTGTCCCTAAGTAGTGTGGTTACAGTAATACTGGGAGGTGCAAGCGTTTTTCAAAGCTCTTAATTGGTAAAAAATAATATGATGACTTTATGACTTACCCACAGAGCCAGTTCCCGATCTTAGGCATGTAATCTTTGAACACCAGTGCAGCGATGACGTAAGTATCGGCCATTAGTTGTCTATTCCCAGACACTTCTGCCAGATTTACCGCTTGCAGCGCTAAAAGTACTCGCTCGCTGCGACCGCTGTGACTCGATAGGATCTCCAACTGCGCGAGACGATGGGATACGCTGGAGACTTCGGCCGCCCACTTCTGTGTTGCTCGTCTGGCAGGACTGGAAACGGATGGATATTGTGTCTAATCACATTATTTCTATTAACTATTGAAAAGATATAAAGAATTTTAATACAAATGCTGAAGAAAAAGCTCTATGCTTAACAATATGGTTGAGTAATATTTTTTGTCTATGGTTTGTATTGGAAAATGACACCCATATTAGTGAATGGAAGCCACCACCAACTAAATCAATGGTGGAGGCCTATGTTCAGCAGTGGACGTCCTATGGCTGAAAATGATGATGACCAGTATTAATCTGGCAACAAATTCTATATGCTGATGGAGTCAATTTGTAAGTATATATTTTTTTTATATTTTACCTATCACACCACAAATCGCCTGCACGTCGGGTCAGATATCCACCGAAGGGTAAGCGCTGCAATATCTGCCGAAGAACTGCCGACACCAACGCAGAATACTTGGCATGCCCTTGTCCGCCCGCTTGCACACTTTTACCACACACAGCTAAAGAACGGTGCAATTCCAATTGAGCGTTTGTTACGTCACCCTAGAATACATATTTTTTTCATGAAATAGCTAATACAAATTGAGACAAAACACAGTGAGACACGAAAAATTTAAAATAATGTGAAATGATATTATATGTATTAATCCTGTAAAAAATTTTACCATTGTGTTACAACTAAATGTATTAACATTTATGTAGGCATTTGTCTTACCTTTTTTAAAAATTCATCTGCTTGCTTTTTGTGCTTGTAGAATAGACCGGCTTCCTTAGATTGTGATTTCGGTACAGAGTCACCATAAACCAATAGTTGAACAAGACATCCTCCAAGAATCACAAAATTTATAAGATAAATAAAGAATGTGTTGAACAACCAAGAGGCCCATGACATTCCAATGTTACCTGGTGGAAAAAAGTTTTATTTTAGTGTATGGCAACAAAAAAAGGAAAAACATAATTACTAAGTGCTCTTAACAGTTTTAGAGACAGATAAAGGAATAAATTTTAACTAAAATAGATATACAAGATAGATACTCACTGCTGTAGTTGTCAGATAAAATTTTCCTTTGATCAACTCTTGCTGAAAAGTCATTGCTTGAAGACTCAGACATAAAGCTGCCTAAGAAAGAACTGAATGGATTGAAGGCGATAAGCCCAACCATGAATGCACATAATGCCAAACGGGAGTGATCTCCCATCCCCATAACAATTTTTGAATATTTGTCATCAATCTGTAAGTAATATATGAGTATTAATCATCCAATCAGCACTTTAATTTTTTTGCAGTTTTCCTTTGAAAAATCAAAATTCAAGCAAAAAGTTACCTTAAAATCTGGTGAACTAGGCGAATCACTATCCAGGGCATGTGGTGAATGGTATGGTGAAGAGATATCACTGTGAGGCGGTGTGTATGCCCCTTCGTAAACAGACTCTTTAGTGCCAGTTTTCTGGTACTTCAACTTGAGAGCCATATTCTCTTGTTTTAATCTGGTATTTTGATTTTGTAAGTACTTAATGTATTCAATTGTTTTTCTTAATATTGCTGATTTGTTCAACTGTAAATACAAATAGTTATTATACACTACATGAAAGTCATGCTATCAAACAAACACACTCATAGATAATGGATTATTCCAAGATCTGATAATAAATAATATTTGATGAAAATGTGCAAAACAATAATTTGAAGCATTTATTTAAACTTAACAGTTTACCTTAGCTTCCTCTCCTACTAGCATGTTCTTAAGTTCTATAATTCTGTCATTGATACTTGTTCTGTATCGTCTTTCAATGGCATTGTGGGCACTCCGCTTGACCTCCTTGACCTTAGGCACACCAAGACTTGGTACTTGGCTAAGGGCAATCTTATCGCCCTCCATAACAACTGGTATTCCCGTGGTCAACAATGTTGGCCCACTGTTACTTGTGAAAAATGTATGGATAGGTCGGTTTTCTGGACTGGATTTAGAGTTTAGAATGTTTTGGGATCCTGGAAAATGTTTAATGTCTACATATTAATTAAGTGTCACTGCTAGTATTTCAACCATTATCAATTTTACTATTAATCTTACCTTGAACAGGTGCACTGGTATACATTAAAGTCTGAGCTTCTGTATTTATAATATTTGGTTGTAATATCACTGGTGAGAAATTTGAATCTGTAGTTTTCAAAATAAGAGGAGTCATCCCCTTAGGATTATTTTGAATCAGCAGTGGCTGTCCAGCTTGCTGTGGTTTATTCGACTGTTTCACTTGTGGGACGCTGTCTAATTGGACAAGAGATCCTCGGCCATCTGGCAGCTGATGTATGCTCCCTGGTGCCAAGTTTACATATAGGGGGTTTTGTAGAACTTGCTGCACTATCATTGGGCCCTGAGCAGGGCCTCTATTTTTACTGGGTTGAGTCACGTCGGGTAGAGGCGCACCATCGTTTGTTTTACGTAATTTCGTCGAACCGTATCCATCATCGAATCCACTATTAGGCACTACCTGTACAGGACTCCTTTTAATGTTCGGTGGGGACTGAGGAGAAGCTTTTACTGTATGTGTGTACTGAGATACAAGAGGATTCCCAGGACTGTTGAAATGTGGACTGTGTTGTGATAGTGGTGAATTTTCTGTTTTTATTTTAGTGTCAATACTAAGTAACCCAGAGTCATCCGTGGTTGCCAGCTCCTCTTCCAGTTTACGCATAAAAGCATCATCACAATTGTTAAGGAAGTCTGAAATTAATAAGAAAAATACATGATGCAATTCTTGAAACACCATAGGAAATAACAAGTGTGCATAAATCTTTCTTACCTTCTATTTCAGTAATATCATGGACGTTAAATAAATCAGCATTAATAAAAGATTCGTCTTGATCCATAATTTGTAACTTCAGGAACACCTTTAAAAAATATATTTTTGAGGAAAAACATTACTCACTCGCATGCAACATAGAGAAAAGTAATACATAGGAAATAGAGAACCCTCTCTGTCAAATTTTTGAACCTACTAATTGACAGCCTGGTGTTAAATTCCCTGTACTTAACCTACGTACGTAACGCTCACATACATACATAGTCCACGCACACATACATACATGAAGTCCACGCACACATACACACAGTTCACGCACACATAGGCCCTCATAACCTTCAAAGAATTATTGTTTTTTTGATGTACAATGTAGAATTTTTTCAAATCCATTATTTTGAAAGTATTTATCTTTATGGTGTACGTATTGTATTATTTTCAAAACAATGGATTTGGAAAAATTCTACATTGCACATGGAAATGCAAATAAACAAAAACTTTTCAATTTAATAATTTTACTTTATTTATGAACACACATAATATTATACACCAAAAGCGTCTTTTCGCAAAGTTTTCAACAACACTAAAAAAGCATTTGCACTTTGAGAAAACTCAGATCACTTGTTAACATAACAGAAAGTTTCTTCGCGATTCACGAAGGAACGAACAAAACTCCGATGAACCAGAACAGCAGCAGGTACGAAGGAATGAACTTGAATTTGACTCGACTCTTCAATACTTTAATAGGGCCACAGAACTCATAAACGATGGCTAAGAAAACAAGAATGCATTCAACCTAACAAAAACAACACCGGCCATTTTGGAGGAAAAACAAAGTTGCCATATGTTAAATAGTAATTTCTACTACTCTATTAAGTAAATTATAACAAAAAATGTCACCGTTCAGTTTTAAATTAAAACAAATTAATTTCATTTTAAAAAAAGTTTTCACATTGTAATTAACAATATTCTGAAATATATTTTAATTAAGAAAAAAATGAAAATATGAAGGAAACAGGAGCAGCGACATGCGTTTTAGGGTAGTTAAAAAGTATTATTTTGTGACTCTAAAAGTGCTTTGCAGGCATTACATAAATTTCCATTTAAGAACAATACTAATTATCCTATTATTACAGAATGCAGGAAATTACTTCACAAATGTAGTCTTAACAGTCATTTAATTAATTTTGCGTGGATTCCTAGTCATACCAATATTCCAGGAAATGATAAAGCTGATAAGCTGGCCAATGAAGCGGTTGAGTGTGGAGATATACATCCGTACACAAATTATTGCCATGACTTAACGGCAGCCCTTCCCAAAGCTTATCTCAAATCTGCCTGGGATGAGAATTGGGAGTTCACTAGCCAATCTAAGGGGAAACATTACAAGCTCATTCAACCATCCATCCTTTGTAAACCATGGTTTGTTAAAATGAATCTTTCCAAAACAGTTACTACCATTTTAACTAGAATGCGACTTGGTCACGTGTGCACTCCAGCACACTTGGCTAAAATTCATGTACTTGATAATGATTCGTGCACTTGTGGTTCTGGCGTCGGAGACTTAAATCACATATTTTTTTACTGTTGCCTATATGATCGTTCCTCTTTTATTAGTTCTCTTTTAGCCATTAAAATTCCTTTTCCTACATCCATCACTTGCCTATTATATACCAATAACATTGATGTTTATAATATCCTAGCCGAATTTATTACCCATAATAATATAAAATTGTAAATAGTAATGTATATTGTACTTATGTAAATATTATTTTATTTTTATTATTTTGTACTTATATCACACCTAAATTGATCCTATGAAAACCATCCTTTGTTCCGTTTCCTTCCGTAATTGATTCGTTTCCCTACCTTTTAACTTTAACCCAATCCCACCCTGTCTAAACGCAATGTCCGCAAAACTTATGGCAAAACTGAACGCAAAAATCAAGAACCCTGTCGTGGCTAAACGCAATCCGCGAGAGCCATAAAGAAGAAAAAAAAAAAGTATTGGAATTTATCGACTGAAGTCGCTGTTTGGAAGCAAGTTTGATCGTAGTATGGAAGTTTCCGCACCCTGGCATGCAATTTGTTTATATTTTTTGACATTTAAATTTGACAGTAGTCTGATGATTTTTTCCAGCCAATAGGAGGCCTAGAAAACAGTGGCATGATTTTACGTCATCTAAAACTGCGTTCATTCAAAAAATATTTATAGCAGGTATCGAGTGGAATGATTATCTTCGAGCATGTATTTTTTTAAAGAAACGGCATATAGGTCACCTAGGGAGCGTGGCCATAGTTAAACATTAAAAAAATCCATTTTTTTTCTTTCTTCCGTTCTTCTCGTCAGAGTAAATAAATTCTTTGGTTAAACTCTCCTATTTGGCATAAATATTTAATGAATAAGCAAGGGCCGTAGGACGGGTCTTGCTTATTCCCCGGTGTTTTACAACTTTTACAAGCTTTTCTGTATGGAGTTGGCCAGACTCTTACTTAACTTTTAATGAAATGAAGATAAATTTTGATGGTGCAACCCAGCAATAATGTAATGCTACTTCAATGCACTAGATGGCGTTAGTAGTAAGTGTAACGTCATTCATGCTAAACATTTTCTTGAACTACCTGCATACGTGGAAATATTTTCAGTTACAACATAGTGTAGCTGTAATACATAAATCGACTTGCCAATTTATGAAAGTTTTAAATAAATTAATGAATATTATGATTTCGAACGCTCAGCCAAAGAATAGGAATATTTTTTTTGCACATTATCTTCTTGTATCCTATAGTCCAGTCAATGAATGCCTTAACGACGGTGTAGAGAGAAATCCGTGGAACACAATTTCTGACCTCGGGACTTTATTTAGCCTAGTTAGGAGGTGAACATGGCAAAAGTCCCCGCCCTTAGCCCTTGAGCCGGCGGGGAGAGGGGGGTTTAAAGGTACCACTTTTCGGTTTTTCGCTTAATCCTCGGAAACTATGCGTCCTAGTGACATGACTACTAGGAACCAAAAAAAGCTTATTCAATTTGCCACAGGTGAGACCGTCAAGTTTTTCTATATCTTGTATAGTTTTTGCGGCATCTGCTCTAGAAGGTCTGTAAAATTGGAAATTTTATTGTTGTCTTACATGCTCCTTTTAGGAGAAAATCGACTAAATCAACATTGAGCAAACACTATAGACATGCGGGAGCATGTTAAGCCTAGTTCCATGGAGGGGACTGCACCGTGCGTATATTTAGACGAACCAATTAGAGCCACTCTTGACTCCTCATCATTCAAAAACTACTGTGCATTAACACTTCAAATTTGGCTCATGTATTGAGACTTGCAAGGTATACATCAGCTTCAAATTTCATAAATATACCTCAAACGATTATTTAGGTATTGACGTTCAAAAATCGATATTTAGAGCACTACTATCTATCTATCACATGTGAAATGTTAAAATTTACTGGTTTTTTATTTGTTCCTTTGTATTTACATAACTACCTTTCTGGATGCCAAGTTTGAACCTTCGAGGTCATCTGGAAGTGGTTAGAATTTGGTCTATAGGTCAGACATGTAGATTTTTGGACGTCAATATCTAAAGAACCGTTTGAGTCATATTTATGAAATTTGAAACTGATGTATATCTTGCAAGTCTCAACACATGAGCCAAATTTGAAGTGTTAATGCACAGTAGTTTTTGAGTGATGAGGAGTCAAAAGTGGCTCAAAGTGATTCGTCTAAATATACGCACGGTGTAGTCCCCTCGCTGGAACTATGCTTAACATGCTCTCGCATGTCTAGAATGATTGCTCAATGTTGATTTAGTCGATTTTCTCCTGATGGGAACATGTAGGACAAAAATAAAATTTCCAATATTACAGACCTTCTAGAGCAGATGCCGCGAAAACTATACAATTTATAAAAAAACTTGACTATCTCATCTGTAGCAAATTGAATATGCTTTTCTTGGTTCAAAGTAGTCATGTCACTAGGACGCATAGTTTCCGAGGATTAAGCGAAAAACCGAAAAGTGGCACCTTTAAACCCCCCTCTCCCCGCCGGCTCAAGGGCTAAGGGCGGGGACTTTTGCTATGTTCACCTCCTAACTAGTCTAAATAAAGTCCTGAAGTCAGAAATTGTGTTCTACAGTTTTCCATCTATAATGCTTTATTGACTGGACTACTAGTAGGCTACTTGAATTACTTATTTACTCTTTTATGGAAGTAATTATATTTTTGGTGACTAAACACTGGTCCATATTACGTATTTATTTTTTGCTAAAGGAAAAATTTGAAACATTCTACGAATGTTGGCATAATTCGGCCTTTTTACAGCATTTAGATTTTGATTCAAGAGAAAATTAATTGTATCATTGTACCTATAACTGCTATAACGCAAAAACTTATTAACTAATGTTGGTAGATACTTTAACTTAGAGCCTCTATGAATATTGAATACGAGTATTTTGCCAAACAAAAGGCTGATGCTTTTATTAAATTCTGCTACTTGAGATTAATTAAAGAATATGTACGATTAATCCATTTTAACCGACTTCAAAAAAGGAGGAGGTTATATGTTCGACTGTAGGTATGTATGTTTTTTAGGGTAACGGTTTAGTAAAAGTAAATATCAATTATTAAACGTTTAATTTATATTTATAACATTATATTATTTGTAAATATAGAGTTCTTATAATAATATGTATGTCCGAGAACTACTTGTTCTAATATAACTTAGACATGTAGATACAATAGCATAATATACTCAACTACATTACGAAATTTTGCAATCACAACTTAAAAGATGAACTCTAAGTGCAATAACATCATACTTAATAAAAATATATATCTATAGGCACAAAAGTGGATATAATAATAATTACATAACATCTGATTTAACAAACTGAGGTACAGTGATATGGGACCTTATTCAGGCAATACAGGATTGCATTATACTTAAATACAAACAAACTCGCTACAAGAGGTATCTTTAGTACCGCCTTCGAGCCTCTTATTGGAAATACCTTCATTTAAGGTTTGAACACAAAGCACGACCGTGCACCTACTGGAATGTCCTAAAATACATCATAATCTTGATTAAAACAAAGGCACAACACAGTGACACCACCAAAGTGTAGCTTCTACACGCACTCAAGTGTTTAAACTTATATTTAACTTTAGGTACGTATGCAAATACTAAAGTAAACAATATACTCGTATCTATGGCATTTTCAAACTAGACTAAAGTAACAAATCAGTCTTGCAATGAATTATGAAATAAAACTTTCCATACCGTATTCAACTTAAACAATTATGATAAAATTAACATTATTTATTAGAAGTCAACACATGTAAAGAAATATATAGCAAACGGATTATGTGAACCCAAGGAGGTAATAGTATACAAATAAAATTATTTATATTACCTTACATAAATTAATCATCGCAGATTGATTTTCAAACCACAAAAACAGTGCCACAAACTTTACTTCGTAGGATTTTACTACATTATTTTACAACAATATAATTAATGTGTTCCGTAATAGATAGACTAAAACATTACACTAATTATTGAAAATAATCTTACACTTAGATATTCTATTACGTATAAATAGCGAATCGCGACGGTATTTTATGTGTAACTAACATGACATTGAGCATTTTACTAAGTGTATTCTCTAGGATTTTAAATTAAAACGACCGTGCTAGTGTTTAATATAAAGTTATACGAGTATGTACACGAACTTACATTATATTGATGACGGTGAGCACAACTATATTAACAACAAAATTATGGCAATCGACAAACAAGATACGTCTAACCCGTAACATATAGGAATAAGATAGGATTTGGATAGAAAGGTCGCTTTTCGCAGTGACATGAGCGTCGCGCGTCGCACTGTCCTTCCCAACAGCCACAGTGATAATGATCCTTACATTCAGACAACAAACTCTATGTTACGGACTGTTGCAAATGATATGGCGTGGTGCGACGCGGAGGACTAGAGTAAGCAGTAGCGAGCGTGAGGTAGTAGCGGCGTTTCAGTCTATAAACATCACAGTCGCGGACAACAAAATTGCACAATAACTCGTCTAGGCGGACACCCGCCCGAGGCGCCCTTCGGCCCTACACAGTTACCGCTCAAACTAACACAAATTACGATCTAATTAAAGCTAACCTATTTCATCTATTCTATTAACAAAGATGTAAATCATACAAATCATAAAAGTCAAAGAAGAAATAAAAACAAAAATAAAATCACAAATAAGCATCGGAAGCCCCGTAACGGAAATTTTATTTCGTTATCGGGCTTCGATAACTCAAGAAAATAAATAGAAAAGAGAGGTAGTAATAGAAGTGGCCGCGGGGCCCATTGCAATCGCCCGGCCGGAGCGCCAGGTCGGAGTGGCGTCCTACCAGTAGCCTACCAATAAGTGCCTTATTTCTAGCTTTGTACGCCTAAGTCAGTCTTTTCAGAATGTACGCATTAAACGACTTTCTTGTGTTCAATCTCTTTCGCTACTGCAATCTAGGGCAAAGTTTCGAGGCGGGACTATGACTCCGGATGGTGGCTCTATATCGTGACGTCGAGAAATTGAGAGATCCTCAACATGATCGTCGTCGGGGAGCGGTGACCGAGGTGACTGCGGTGTAGATCGCGGCGGCGATCTAGGGGCGAGTGCGGCGTGCGCGGCCGCAGCTAGAGCCATGGCGTGAAGGGCTTCGCGTCCTCCATCTCTAGTTGCCCCTTCTAAGGCTTGCTGAAGGAAAGATGGGTCGATAAGAGGCGTGGTCGGATTTCCGTCGTCATTACCACCCGTGCCACTTAATCCGTAAGGAAAGGCGGCACCGTTGCTCTCCCTTTTGACTCCTCTACTCATTGGTCGACTTGTCGTTATACCCAGCTTCTTAACTTTATCGTACAAAGTACGTGATGGAACGCCATATTTACGAGAGGCCTGTAAAGCGCTCATTCCATTTCTAACGCATTCTATAGCGGACATGATATCCGATCGCGTATATTGTTTGTATCTTTTCCACTCTGGCTTTTGTTGCGGTGGTACATAAGGTGCGAGTCCTGCTCTAACATCTGGTTGAAAATTCGCGGGTGGAGGGGAGGGATGGAAATTGCGAGAATTTTCTTCCTCGAAGGAACGTTCCGTGTATGGAGAGTGAGCATCCTCTGAGCGATCGGATCTGTTATTATAATGGGGCGACGAAGCTCTCGATGACAATCTGCGAGGACGATAGTCAAAGGGTCGTTGCGGGCTCGGCGGTCTCTCAGGCTCGTGGGCGGAACCATTAGAGTGCAGACGAGGAGGGCCATTATTGTTAACAGGATGGCAGACGAGAGAAATCGGTTGGGAGGAATCAACCGGGGATGACTGGGCGAGGACGTTCCTCAAGATGGGTGTATCGCGGGTGGCTAACATACTGGAGAGTTTTTTGCGTTTCAGGGGGTTCATGTCAACGGATTCGTAGGCCGCTGAAAGAACCGGCGCGGCCGGTGGTGGCGGCCAGCGCGTGGGCGGCGCCGGAGCCGGCGGAGAGATGCTGGACGGCGCCGCGGGCACGACTCGCGGCGGGGACGCGGCCGGCGTGCGCTCGTTGGCGCCCGGCCGGCGACGGAGCTCCGTCATGTCGAACAAACCCTTGACTTCCAGCTGCTCGGCCACCTTCATGATCCGCGGTATTTGGGCCTGCGTCACGTTCACCTCGCCCGTGTACATGTACTCGAGGAGCGCGCGCATCTCGAAGTCTTTTACCCCGGGGAACAGGATGCTGCAGTGGTCCATGGGCACGTCAGCCAGTATGGACTGGAAGTAGGGCGAGTTGGCTGCGAGCACCACGCGGTGAGCCTTGAACGTCACCTGGTCGTCCACCACGAGCGTGCAGTCCACATAAGTCTCTACTTTTATCAACGCCTCCAGGATCTCCACAAGATTCGTCTTGTGATGGTTCCATTTTAGACAGAAAGTCTGCTGACCTTCGCTACTCCCCATTTTCTTAAACTGCGACTCTGTGAACAAACATGAATTTATTAACAACGATAAGGCGTGTTTATACATAATTAAGATGAACAGTCAATTAATTATAATCTCTCCACTAAAAACTATTTACCAACAACTACTATGAAACAGTTTATAATTAGCAAACAATGCAACAATAAAAACTCAAAATAAACAAATATAATTTTTTGATCATTTGTAGAGATCGAAATAATATAAATAAGACTAAGAGTGGATGTCATCATATTATGTGCAAATAGTAATTAAACATTTTATATTGACAAAAAACTTTGGTTTAAATTAACCGATTTATGCAAAATTATCTAGACATTAAGTTAAAAAGTATTAAAAAAAATAAGTAAAAACAGTTAATTAATACACTTAAACACAAACAAAACAAAACGTGCAATAATTACGAACCCGGTAAAACTCCCTCGAACGTAGAGCCGGGATACATGGTAAAACCAGTTGCGTCACGGCCCACGTATGAAAAACTGATAATACAATCCACCAAACACAAGGTAGAGTTCGCGAGACGTGCAAGCGAGCGCAGCGGGCGCACTGAGAGCGCGACTGTGTCGTTCGCGGCTGGCGGCGCGACTGCTCCACTGCACCGCCCTTCCCCATTTACATATTTCGCTCTACAGCCCTTCCTCACTGCCAAATTGACTTTTTACCTTTTATTCGGCAGGTAAATCGAACTTAGGGGAATGATGAAAGCACCGGCGTCCCTCCTGTTGTTACCAATGAATTGGCATTGCTTGGCTTATCCGATTCCAATCTTATTCACAACACGCAAGAGCATAAACTACACTAGCAAAATTGCAAACAATAAAAAACTTTATAAAGCTCAAACCTGTAATCGAAGTCCGAAAAGTCCAATTCAGCCTTGACCAAAACTAATGTTTACAAAACTCTACATAATAAAAAAACTCACCCTCCGCTGTGAAAAATCCAGAAGTGATAAAAAACTACAGGAAAATGTTCGGAAAACTCATGAAGAAATTCACACTTCGCACTTTCAAAAAGTTCGTAACACGTTCGGGGTTGTTTTGCGCAAGCGTCCCAGTGGTGAATACGCCCTGTGGGGGCGGCGTGCTCTTGCGAGCGTCTGGCGATGACTGTTGGCTCGGTTGCAGGCGCGTCCGCGGTCTCTCGCCCGCCCCGCACCTCCTGCGTGCGCTTTTTACGCACGCAGCGCCGCGGAGTGCAGTGCAATTGCGTGCGGGCGAGAGGGCGCGGGCAGAGCCGCCGCGCCCGACGAATTGCAGCCCGCTGAGGAGGGCGCGCGCCGCTGTGTGCGTGAGTGCGCGCGCGCATCGCCACAACACAACACCGCATCGCCAATGTGTGCGTCCGCCGCCGTCGCGCCGCGAGACGATAGTATAAAACCGATTTCGGCTTATAAAAAATTGTTGCCTCGCCTTGCCGTCCCTTTGTATGCTAACACTTAACTTCTCGTCGGCATCCAAATTCTGTAGTTCGCTTCGCTAATTATCATAAATATCGAATTAATATGCTTTGTTGCATTTACATTAAATATGTACGTTGAAATATATGCAAGGTTTTCGTTAGATAATTAAGTATGTCAATAACTATTATACCATCATGGATATAAAACGGCTCTACTTTTAAATTACTAACGAACTTAATTAATTAATTGCTCCTCAATATTAGGAGGATTATTATGCACATTAAACTGACATGAGAATTTTATTTATCTTATAATATAATTTCTTTTCCATTTGTACAAAGATATAGAAAGCTATTAAATATTTATAACGCAAACAATCGACTCTACCATCCTATGGCAAGTGTTTTTGCTAAATATTGCTGTTACGCGAGTCGATATGCTACATAAACTATAGTTACAAGTAAACTCAATGATTATAAATTAACAAATGAGCATTCATACATATTTACAGCGCGAGTAAAATGCAAATAGAAATCAACAAACAGAAATGGGCGCAACTGAAAATACGTGGCCGTTTAACTCCGCATGAATCGCCCCAAAAATTCCGAAAAGTGCGTGAACAACGACGCAAACGGGGTCATTGACACATTGCCTGCGGAGGGAACGCCAAAATAGCGCGAAATGCACTCAAAAATAGATCAAGCTGTGTGCAATATTTTTTGTTGCTGTGCATCGTGCGCGGCTTCCGTCGATTTTGGGGAATGTTTCTCGTTAAAGTTGTTACTAATTGACATCAAATTTCTAGTCGTACGACTGGCTTAAATGTTTAGTTGGATTATTTGAGGATTTTAAATAATTTTGAAGTAGGTATCATGACTTTGTTATAAATACGCAAATTACCCAAAATGGAAGTGTTATTCATATTAGCTTTAAAACATCCGAAAAAAAATCACAAGTCCTTCTATCTATTAGTTAATTTGAATTTAAATGGTGGCTAATAAATATCATCCATTTTATAAATCGAGACGACAATGTGCCAATCTTCATCATATTTAATGGTTCGATTTTATACGGGACACGTGAATTTATCAACGAATTGATAGATAACCGAAAGGGGAAAATCGAGTTAATCGAGCGAGTGTCTACATCAATAACGTTCTTTCACATTAGTAGCGCTTCACAATAGCAATCAACTTGAAATTAGTGTTAAAACCCAAATAGCAAATATCGAGCACGATTTAAAAAGTAATAATGAGATAACAGACTATGCCGTCTCTACATTTATTGATGCATATTATATTAAGTTAATTTTAACTTTGTTTTAATTCAAATTGGTCATCGAAGATTTTGTTTTCTCACGATCAAAACTTTTCGCTACGAATTCCGTAGCAGAAACAATGGCAGCAAATGTCATAGCCACTCATCTCAGTGGCAAAGAATAGAGTGCACTCGAGTCGAGTGTGCAATCGTTTGCATATCGATGACGTGTAGAGTGTGGGTAATAATACCGACTTTTGGGTATCGGTATGCATTTCATGGGAACCCCACTGGATTACTGCACTTCTCGTCATAATATAACTTAAAAGCGGTAAAAATACTTACTGGTAAACAAGCATTTTTGTTTTATGACTAATTAAAAGCATTAATTACATAACAAAAACAATAAAAAAATGTGTCAATTAACTAAAGTGGTCACCGTTAGATCGGTATGTTTATGTCTGGTTCAAAGACTGCAACAGTCATTACACGAGCAAATTGTAGTGACAAAACTGGAATGATTACTACGAATTAATTGACATAAGCCCGGCTAATAAAACCAGTTAGGTACAGTGTACAGTTAATGCAGTTAATGAGTAGATAAGACAAATTGCAATATTTATCTGCAAGCCAACGTGTCATCTACGTATCGCGGTGAACCACACGACCGTTAGAGGATGATAATTTGACTACATATTGCGCCGGAAACCAAAATTCAAATGCTCCATTGTTCGTACTACACTTTAACCTTTGATTCGGACGTTTAGTTAATTACTTTAATTAGTATTGAAATTCGCGCGGAAGCGTTCGCCTCGCATTCATTAATGGTTCGGGTACAATCAACTCTATGGAATGCATTTGCAATTCTCACTGCTATAAATTTCGGTGTCAATTGGTGAACAATGCGGTATCACGGTGTACAAAAGCGCATTATGCTAATACCAGCATAAACTCGCGCGACCTATCCCACGGCGCGCGCGCAGTTACTGCAAAGCGGACGAGGGTTACATAAAAAACTAATAAAAAAGCAATAATCAGATCCCGCATGTCGGCTTGTTGAGTCCGAAATTGACGCGGCTGATGAACCGTAAGGGATAAAGTGATCGACAATGAGCGTTATTGCACGGATGATGCCCTCTTAAAACACAAAACGCAACCAGAGCCCTCCGCAATTTCGTTGCCAGAAGCTTTGTTCAGAAGTTTCAACTTAAATAAGTTTTTTAGGATGCATGCATGTACGAATAATATAGATTAGTTTAATATTTACGAGCTTTTTGGAAGCTTTTTTCTACCAAAAACTTAGGTACATCTAGTGTCCGTATCTAAACATAGAGACATATGCAATTTTGAAAACAAGTTACGTGGCCGCAATGATAATACATAAATAGCCAAAACGGGTATTAAGTAGCTACCTAATGTAGAAGCTTAATTGATTAAGCCTCAAAAAGCATTTGTTTATTATTTGTGGCACTTTGCTAACTGATTTACATAAGAAAAACTTACCTACGCTTTTTGCAACAGTGACCATTATTTTAATTGAGTAACGTCACATATTATATCTGTTGCGTTGTTATTCATTAATGGCAATTAAAAAGCAAAGTTTGCATAATGAGCAAGGGTGGTACATAAAGAGATAATTGTAATTTCACGCGGACCCGCGGCCTTGTCATTTGTCACCAGCATCCTGCCACGCGCCCTACGAATTTATTATTTTACGCTATCCAGGGAGCCCTTACCCTCTTATCTTTCATATTAACAACGAGACAATTAAATAATAGACCATAGCTTTCGTTGTTGCGGCTGGCATCCGAATCTTTTATTGTATGACTGGCAATTATTTGTAAACTCTTCGACTAGTCGTGTTCTACGTAGCGATAGCGATTACTTTTAGCTAATAAAAGTAACAATAATACAAAATATTTAAAATTATGTGTTTGCGAAAGTAGGTGACTGCGGGTCTGAGTGCGCAGATAAGTGTCTAAACATAACTGTTTATTACTTTTTATGTGTTACGTAAAATATATAAGGTAGAGACATACGTAAGAATTTGCAATTAATGCTATTATGAATGTACCCACAGTTCATGATTTTAACGAATATTTTTAATGGAAATCGCTAGGCGGGCATTAAACTAATACCTTCGTAGTGATGACTCGTAAAAATTGTGTGAACTCTATTTGACTATCGTAGTGAGAATAAAGTGGCGGTAATTAAAAGAAATGTTTATCTATTTGAAAGCCTTTTTTTATTAGTGACACAACATTATTTAATTATTTGACAAAATTATGGTAACATATTTCCACCAACGTATGATATTAATAAAAGTAAGAGCAGATAAATTTGATGCATACTGCCACATGAAATAGTAGAGTCGATAAAAATCTGTATAAAAACAAGAACGTTACTATGTATTAACTTTACGTTGAAAGCAATAAGCTTGACAATATAATCCGCTGTTGGAAAAATTGCTTTAAATAGACAGAATGGCTAAACTATGACTATTTCTATTGTCTATTTTATAAAGTGTAAGCCAAATCAGGGAGCGAACGACAGTTTGGGGCATCGTTGGACGTATTCCCACTGCGTCTACGCACACGCCCCGGCCGCACCCGGATGCGCTCATTGTAGCGAAACTCCCCGGGCACAAAACAATGCACTCTTTCCTCCTATTGTCTATGCCCACAACGAATATTCTATCCCTAATTTATGGGTAATGAGTAAATAATGTAAAATCGCGAATTTATTACCTTCCATCGGTACTTGCTTATTATTTAGGTACGGGTATATTTGTGTTTACAAAAATGGTTTTTGATATAACAAATTAATGTTCATTGAGCTTTAAAAAGCTTTCGGTCAGTAGTAGGTACAAAGCTTTTGGCGTGACTAATTTTGGGGAAACTGTTGTTTATGTATCTGTCTCTTTAAGTAACACTTGTAATATAGCCTTGTAAAGTATAATTAAGTTTGTATAATTATATTAACGCTTCTTTCTGAAAAAAAAAGTTATAAATAACAATTTTTATGGCATAAAAAATAATGCAAATGTCATATTGGTAGAGATAACATCGCCGTGTTCGGAAATGGGTCAAGAGGGCACAAAAAAAACTATTATAAATAAAAAAAATGGGCGGTTCTGCTAAGTATCGTTGTCAAAATATTGCCAGCACCTGCTTCGTAGACAGGGTGGCGCGTAACGAACTTTTGTGT